CATTCAATGGAAGTTTTAAGATGTTTTTAATGAAATTCAGGGTGACCCCAAAACTTTTTGCCTGCAGTGTTTTATATATATATATATATATATATATATATATATATATATATATATATATATATATATATATATATATATATATATATATATATATATATATATATATATATATATATATATATATATATATATATATATATATATATATATATATATATATATATATATATATATATATATATATATGTGTGTGTGTGTGTGTGTGTGTGTGTCCTGATACGTAGTGCTAATTAGTCTGATACGGTATCAATTTCAAAGCGTTATCTTGTAACAACGAAGCTGAATATTGAATGAGATTTCTAATGATTACTTTACATAATTTGTCCAAGGCTAATGAAAAGAGGATCTAGTAACAAATGAAGAAGTATGAATAATAATAAAAAAAAAACGAAGAAAAGAAAATGTTAAAACAATTTCATTTTAATCCCTACAAGTTAATCATTTCCACGTTTCTCAAGAGAGCGAAGCTATTAAATTCTATTAAACACAAAAGTCAGGCAGCTAAAGTTGAACATAAAAATTGGGGTGAAGAAAAATTAATTAAAATATGAAATTGCATCCAGATTTTAATTACAAAATTATTTCATTTTGGATTAGATGAGAAAACCATATAAAAGTGCACTGTAAAAAAACAAAAAACCAAAAAAACTTTGTTACAATTTTTTTTTTTCGAAACGAGCGTATTATCCCGAAATACCAAAAAATATAGGAAAATAAAACTTGATACTGCGGAGGTTTGGCTGAAAAGTTACCAAATAAATATAAAATCAATATAAAATCTAAACGCATCTAAGAAACATTTGACATGTCTGGGGCACATAATGAGGAAAGAAGGATTGGAAAATTTGATACTCACAGGATAGATTGAAGGCAAGAGGAATAGAGGAAAACAACGTATGTCCTACATGTCGAGCTTGAGCAAATGAATGGCGGAGCAGGGTTTGGGAGAGATAGCTAAAAAGAGCTATTAAGAAAAAGAAATTGTGGAGAACCATGATCGACAATGTTCTGAAGCGACACAGCACATAGTCTTTCTTTTATGATTGTCAACTCGTCAATATGCATGGGCTTTTAGATGACTCTTTAACAGAAGATTTGACATTTGCATATGTCACACCCACAAGAGGTTACCGTGACAGGTTTTATTGAATCATATAATCATTTCACTCCAAACAAGGCAATAAAATCACTAAGACACAAGGGTTTATTGAGCGTGAAAGAATATAAGAAAAAGATAAACTTTATTAAGGAAAAAGAACAATAGAAGAGTAATCCAGAAGACAATAGATAACGATTGACATTGCATTTAAATTTTTGAAGATCAAAGCTAACTGGAAACCATGGAGCTAGAAGAGAGTTCCACAAGAGAAAAGTGCGAGAAAAAAGTGTTAGCATAGAACATACGGTTATTCAAAAGTAAATTGAGGAGACTCTTGTACTGTGCTTAAATTCAAAAAGTCTAGGCCCCCTAGTGAAGAGCTCATTCAAAGAATTACGAGGAAAATCACAGGGAAGCAACTGTAAGGTAAGAAAAGGGACTGGAACCGAGATGTCAAACCAGGACCAATAATATTGCTGATTCTTTGGATTTTATCAAGGATCTCTAAATATATAGCAGGAGCAGCGGTACATATGTGTGATCACTATTCTAAACATGGGCGAATGGTAGACTTTCCTTCCTTCCTTCCTTCCTTCCTTCCTTCCTTCCTTCCTTCGTTCCTTCCTTCCTTCCTTCCTTCCTTCCTTTTCTCTGACTTTCTTTCTTTCCTTCTTTTCTTCTTTTTCTCTACCTTTCCTTTCCTCCTTTCTTCCTTCCGTCATTGCATTTAAATTTTTGAAGATCAAGTAGACTGTGAAGCTAGAAGTCGGAAGAGAGTTTCTGTTATGGAGTGGTTGTATTTCACTAAGTCGGTCGTAAAATAGGTTCGACGTACAAAACGTTAGGAACTTCATATAATAGGTAAGACGCAGTAATCTAGTTGTAGTCGCTGATATTTTTAGTATCCGACTAACGGTCATCCGACATCGACTGACTGACCAACTCACTGAGCGACTTACTCGTTACTCTTACTACTCCTACTTATTATAGGTGGGAGAGCCTATTAACTATAGAATAGGTGTGTTCCACTATAACAATTTCACAAATGAGAAGTACGAGAAAAGAAACTGTTAGCATAGAACTTACGGTTGCATTTAGCCATTCCAACTGTAAAATTATTCGACCTTGTTACCAATCTTATATTGCATTTGAATTCATAAAATCTAGGTACCATAGAGGAAAGTTCATACGAACAATTACCATGAAAGTGTTTATAAAAAAATTCACAGGGAAGCTACATTATGGCGATGGAATAGTGACTGAAGACAAGGTGATGACCAATAACGTTACAGATTTTTCTTTGGATTTTATCAAGAATCTCGAAATATATAGCAGGTGTACCAGAGCCTATGTGGCAGCAATATTAGAAGCATGGACGAAAAGTAGACTTTAGATATGCAAGATAGATTCTGATGAGAATAATTGTCTAGCACGACAAACTTTCTTAGCAGCAGACCAAGCAGGTTATTCAATATAATCGTTTCACTTCATGTCAGGGCAAAACGTTTGTCTTAAAAAGTGTAATGAGTTACTGTCCTGGAGGTCCTGATGGACGGGATCTCTCAGATGATTAAGAGAGAGCAGTTTCGTTTTGGAGGTGTTAAATATTTTTACGCAGTCCTGTGTAGTTTTGTTGAAATCGGTTGAAAAATGTAGTAAATCCGATCCAATAAATAAACACACACACACACACACACACACACACACACACACACACACACACACACACAAACAATCTGCGTTTTATATTAAGTAAGATTTTGTAAAGCTATCTTTGTTTGAATCAGTCTCATTGGTAGTCTTTTTTTTTCCAGATATTAACATCATGCAAAGGCTTCCAACTTCATTTTAACAAAATCTTCGTATAAATTCATATCATCCTTACTCATGTCATCAAATGATTTTTCTTCGCCTTCTCAGACATGATGCTACTTTTAGTTATTCGTTTGATGTACCTGCGCTGGTAACGATACAGGAAAAAAATTACATGAGCTCCTAGAAAGGATAACAAAGGAAAGCGAGAAAAAAAAGGGGGACTTAACTTCAACTGTAAAAAGACATTAAGTACTGTCATCAGCAAGAGAAAAAAAAACTCGCAAGATGCGAGTTATAAATTGAAGATGTCAGCATCAAGCAGATGCAGAAGTTTGAATATCTGGTATTCGTGGTTAAGATGCGCCGGCCCTGAAAAGGAGACATCCAAATTCGAACACACATCGGATTAGCGAGAGATGCATTACAAATGTTAAGCAATATGCTGAGAAACGGAAGGAATTCGTGAGAAACAAAGAAAAAAACATCTTGATTGCTATGAGATATCCATCCTCCTATATCGCATTGAATGCTGGACAATCTCCCTACAGATAAAGAAGAGAACTAGATGCAACATAAATGTGGTTCTACAGAAGGATACTCCGGATTCCATGGACGGAACAAGTAAGCAAAGATAGTCTTAAAGAAAAAAAAAAAAAAAAAAAAAAAAAAAAAAAAAAAAAAACCAAACACCCCCCCAAAAAAAACACATGCTCAGAATCAGAAAGAGACTTGAAATTTCTTGGACGCATAATAAGGGAGAAAGGCGAGCTAGCGAAACGTAAACCTCACGAGGCATATTGAGGGCAAGAGAGATGGGAGAAGGCAGTGAGCCACCTACCTGACGAGCCTGTGTGAATGGATGTCAGAAGAGGGGATTGGGAGGCTTGGCAAAGGGGAAAACACTATTAAGGGCTAACTACAAAGGATGGGAGGTTTTGGAAAAGCATGTTTGCCCATATTCTGAAGGAACGTGGCACATAGAACAACAACAACAATAATAATGATAATAATAATAATAATAACAATAATATATACACATCATTTTTCTGAGAAAATCTTTTATTCATATAAATTCAATGAATTATTATACCCTCATCAGATATTTTCCTTGGCTATCTATCAATTTACGCAACTTTTCAGCGAAATTGTGTATTCGATCAAAAAGAACGATTCCAGTTTCGGTTCATTGAATTCTTCGAGGAATATTTTGACATCTTTCAGAGGTGGGATGATCAAATAAGCAGAATTGCATGGGGTGAAATTAGATATAGTCTAAAGGCGACAAATTTGAAAAATATGCTGTGTGCGGAAGAATTTCCAATTTCAATCGTGAATGAGAACGGGCACTGGAAATTAGTAAAATCACCGATCTGTTCTTTCTTTCTTTCTTTCTTTCTTTTTCCTGTCTTCGTTTACAACTTTGACTTTTTTTTTCTTATTGTATTTAATTACACCAAGAAAGGTGTAATTTCTTTTCTTTTTTTTCTTTCTTTCTTTTGCTTCTCTCGTTCTTTTGCTTCACTCTTTTTTGCTTCTTTCTTTCTTTCTTTCTTTCTTTCTTTCTTTCTTTCTTTCTTTCGTTTCTTTTTCTCTATTACACACTATTTCTTTCTCCGCAATGTTCATTTTTTCTTTCTTTCTTTCTTTCTTTCTTTCTTTCTTTCTTTCTTTCTTAAACATTTTTAATCCGAGTTTAACGGATGCAAAAATCAGGAAAATTTTGATATTTAATCTGTGATGACTAGTGTACTCTGCTGGTCAAGACCCAACTCATCGTGGTCGCAAATCCGGCGTCTGGCCTTCAGGTATCAGACTGACAGACGACAACTGAATTTAATAAAAAAATTGACAAAGAGGCTAAAAAACTGTCTATTTCGGCTAATATACGAATCCTTACAAAAGGGTGGCCACATATTCCCTGGGCTAAATGCGATATTTCCTGTTAATCATATTTTTCCTTTTTTCTTTCAGATTAAATTCATTTCAATCGTTGATACACATGCGTGCATGACAGTAGAAAGACTCACAGTTTCAGTGCTTTAATTCGGTTGATATTATGTTTACCGAAGAAGGTATAGACACTGAATATATGGTTGTTGCATCTGTCTATAATATCAGAAAGAAAGAAAGAAAGAAAGAAAGAAAGAAAGAAAGAAGCCGCTGTAAAACAAGAAAGAGAGAGAAAGAAGTAAAAGAAAGAAAATTACAAGAATGAAAATTAATAATACCTTTCTTGGTATAACTAAATAAAGAAATAAACGAATACGTCGCAGTTGTAAAGAGAGAAAGAAAGAAAGAAAGAAAGAAAGAGAGAGAGAGAGAGAAAGAAAGAAAGAAAGAAAGAAAGAAAGAAAGAGAGAAAATTAAAAGATAGAAAAGTTGAAAGAAAGAAAATTAATCAAACCATTATTGGTGCAAATAAATAAAGAAAGGAAGAAGTCAAAGTTGTAAAGAAAGAAAGAAAAAAGAAAGAAAGAAAGAATGAATGAATGAATGAATGAATGAATGAATGAAAAAAGAAAGAGCAAAAATAGAAAGTGAAGAAATATATTCTAAAGAAAGAAAGAAAGTTAAAAAGAAGAAAGAAAGAAAGAAAGAAAGAAGCAAAAGAAAGAGACAAAAATAAGAGAATTAAAAGAAAGAAAAATTCAAAATTCAAAGTCGAAATTGCTATGAAAGAAAAAAGAAAGAAGGAAGTTGATGTAAAATAAAAAAAGAATGATAGAGAGAGAGAGAGAGAGAGAGAAAGAGGGAGAAAAGCAAATGAAAAGAAAATTAAAAGAAAGAAAATTAAAAGAAAGAAAATTAAAAGAAAGAAAATTACATCTTTAAAATAAAGAAAGAAAGTTATAAATGAAGAAGTGAAAACGAGAGAAAAGGAAGAAGAAAGAGGGAAGGAAAGAAACAAAAGAAAGAAAGAACGAAAGAAGTCGAGATTATATAAAAAAAAGGGAGACAGAGAGAAAGAGATTATTAAAAAAAAGGTAAAGTGCAGAAAGATAGAGACAAACAAATGGAGATAAAGTAAAGGATACAGAAAGAAAGGAAATCACGCAAAAAAAAGAAGCCAATGCAGTTTTAAAAAGCAAGACAAGAAAATCTCAGCTCTGAAAGCAAAATAAAGAAAGGATAAGAATAAAAATAAATGAATCGAACGGAAAAAGAAAGAAAACTTTGGTTTCACAACTTTTAGAAATGCACCGTATAAAGTAGATTACTTCCCGCCATTTTAAATCAATTTATCTCCGTCGAAATTCAGTATTTAAAAGAGTGTCACCAAAATTCAAATAACGATTACGAGATGAAAATTTGTCTCTGACAAATCTGCAATAAATGCCATTGCTTTATCAAAGTTAGGATGCTTGTCTCTGTTGATAGTTGCATAATTAAAAGAAAAAAACTTGTAATTCCAACGAATGATTTATTTTTTATGGAAATATTTCGACTAGAAGCTGCCAGTCTTAGTCACTCCTTAATTTGAGTAAAAACAGTACAAAGAAGCTCGAAATGCTTAAAAATTCAAATCAAGGAAAACAGAGTTGATGACGTTTGCAACGTAATAACAAGTTGAGGCGTAAGAAAAAAGGCAATTTATAGAGTAAATTCTTTTTGTCATACCATATTTTTTTTAAAGAAGAGATGTCCAGACAGGATGGAGTTGTACTGTATCTATCCTATTGCAGGCATTTTTTGTAGTTGCTATTACCATTTGTTCAGCTACTCTTCTTTGGTTGAAATGCTCTTGGTTCGTCAATTTTATTTCCGAATGCTCGAAGTCAATTCTGTGAACTTATGTAATGGCATGTAATGCAATCGCTGAAGTTTTTTTCTAATTTTTATTTTTCGTTATCATTTGAAATTACCTTATCACAAAGTCTTCGATGTTCATCCAGTTGTTCTTTCAATGATCTTGAAGTCATGCCCACATAACTTGTTGAGCAGTTCATGCAATTAATTTTGTAGATCAGATTGCCATTACTATTGCTTTATATTATAGATTTTATATTGATACGATCTTCAAAATATCAGATTTAAAGACTTCCACAAATCCAATAGCTACTCATATTTTAACTAGTTTTTCTTATTTATATCATTTCGCCCTGTGCAAGGCAATAAAGCCACTAAGACAATTTATGAAAAATAGGAAAAAAAAGAGAAATATTATTAAGGAGCGAGAACAATAAAGAATAATAAAGAAGAAAGTAGATAACGATTGACATTGCATTTACATTTTTGAAGAACAGTGAGCCAATTTTCCTTGCAGTAGATGTAGATATTGATTCAATGTAGTTGTTCCACTTGAAGTCCTTCGAAACTGTGAGGCCAAGAAGCTGCAATGAGACACTCTCCTGGAGTCTAGCATCAACCATGCTAATAAAGGGTAGGGAATTATCTCTGTGGTGGCTAAATGAGAGCAGATTGATGAAGAATGGATAGAAAATAGTTTTATTTATCTCGATATACTTAAGTCTCAAATAGAGAATGTTTTTTGAATAAAAGGTTTATTTTTAATTATTTCAATATATATTTTTTGAGAATTTGCAGTCATGAAATGCTTTGTCTTAGAACAGTACTTCTGAAAATATCTGATATGGCGGACCGGAATTTTATCTTCTCAATGCGTTACGTACCTGTAATATTTCGTGGTAAATGTTATGAATGATCAAGAGTGGTCTCCCCTTGTTTTGTTACTCTCCTCTTTGAGAGAGCTATTTATTTTTACTGGCTCTATAAAAGGACACTATACACGAATCTTGTATTCTCAGATGAATAAAGCTTTCTTAAAGCCTACACCAGCGTACTTTTGTCATTACAATAATATTAAATATATCGGAAACGATGTATAAATGAATATAATCAAAGTTGACTAAAATTTGTATTTTTGTAGTAATGGTTTGTGAGGCTAGCATACTATTTTTTTTATCTTCCATTTATTTTGCAAAAAAATTAATTTAATATGAAAACATAAAAAATAACAAAAAAGCAGTTTATAAACACGAAAACAAAAATTATATAACCTTAATCTTTACTAGTGTGAAAGGTGAGCTTATTTCTTCTTTGTCAGTTTATCTAGTCGTGGTTTAATTGAGGACAAGTGCTACACCCAATGGAGAATGAATATTCATATTATTCCTTAATATTTGCTTTAATAACACTCATGGTTGGGAAGCTAATTTCCGCAGAGATATGTTGAAGGAAATGGAAGAAGATTTTTCAAAACAATTTTCACTAGACTCTGGATATTCTGCTTTCACTATTATCCAAAAATGAACCAAGTGAAGTTGTAGTTTCGAAACTCCTCTTCAATCCATCATCAGCAGTCAGCTCCAAGAATTTATTCTCCATACTGACACTAAAGTCATCTTGCTTTGATCACATCTTTTTTTGCGGTTTATAATTAATAAAAACTTATCAACATTCACCTAAATCCTCATTATTATAATTATATTGTAGCTAAATAATCTATTTCGAAAAATTACCAAATTAAATTTCAGATGGCACCAAGTATTTGAAGTTTTAATAAAAGTTGTATCAATTGTACCAAAAACTTCATTTGAAAGCAAAACGTACCAAGTTTGATACAAAAGTACAAATTCTGACGGCCCTGACTCTGGCGGTGTACCATTTGGCTGGCATTTATCTATTCTTCAAATGATTCCTTAGTATGGCCTGGACACTGGCCGCCTACCGGTAGCTGATGGTACGCGGACCACCATTTTGAGTAGCACTGTCTTAGAAAACTCGAAACCTAAATTAAGAATCAGGAGGAAATTTCCCGGATCTATATAATACTAAAACTCTAATCTTGTATACGTGCATATGTGTTGCCAAGATACAGATTAAACAATACATAATATTCTAACCAATTTATAGGCATATTGTATTTTGAACTCATGCTGAGTGAATCGCCAAATTTCATTAAACTTAGATATGGGGTTCTTGAGCTAGGATCGTTTTTTATTTTTTGCAGCATTTTTAATAGGAAATTCAGCGTTCGTTTTCGATACACATTCGTAGATCAATCCGCGTATTTAAACAAACGGGGTGCAGAATTAATTTCAACTTGACCCACCGCGACGAGAATGAGTTCGAAATTTTATTGTCGATAACTTCCAAACGGTAGATTTTATCAAAATTTCTTTGTTATTTTTTAATTAAGCATGTACAGTTACACCTATATTGGAACTATTCGGGAAATTATTATTAAAAACTGAGCGCGGGGCTTGAACTGCAAATTACACTTTTGAGTTTCCGAGTTGAAATTAGTTGTCACCCAAACAAACACATATTATATTCGAACTATTATGTGTGTGAAAAATAATAAACATTCATAATACATTACAACAACATTTTTAAAAAGGAAGAAACAAGTATGTATAATAAAAAATATACTTAAACAGGCTAAACCTGTTTTCAGCTATTACTCGAAAACTTCACGCAATGTGGTAAGTACAGTGGAACAATAAACCTTTTTCGTTCTTAGTATTAATTACTAATTTTGTATTGAAGGTATATTTTATGGAAGGAATTTCTATTTTAATATAAGTAAGTAAAACATATATCTATTGATATCGTAAAATAATTAATTTTCATACTTTAAATCAAGATATATTTGCATTAAGGCGTTTTTGGTACTTTTCATTCCTTATCGGAACGGAAAATTTTGTACTTATTAACTCGTAATTAATAAAAATATACTTATTATTTTGAAAAAGACTACACCTGATTTAAGCTATTACTCCAAATTTTCACGCAATGTGTTAAGTCTGAAGCCCAGTGGAACAATAAACCTTCTTATTCCATCTTTAGTATTACTTATTAATTTTGTATTCAAAGTACATCTTAGGGAAGAAGTTTCTCTTTTAATGTAAAGAAGTAAAACACAAATTATTTTTTGATATAAGTAGATATATTTTCATATTTTAAATCAGGATATATTTTCATTGGTTTACGGACTTGTAAAATGTTACTTCTTATAAATTAATAATTAATAAAAAATGTACTTATTATTTTAAAAAGGACTCCGTCCACCTTAAGCTATTACGCTAAATTTTCACGCAATGTGTTAACTATGAAGCCCAGTGGAACAATATACTTTCTTTTACCGTCTTTAAATACAAATTAAAACGTGAAATTAATAATAAAATTAATAATATTAT